TCTATCAGGTTCTGAGTCAGTTTCAGACAATATCCTGCTCCAACAAAGTTAAACAAGAAAAGCCAAAGCCACCATAAAAGATAAAATAGATCTCCACAAACAAATAGCTCTTAAAATAATAGAAAAAAAAGTTGAATCGAGACAACACTGAGGATTTCTCAACACATCTCTGGAACCAAAGACACAAATCTGTGATGCAGAACGTCACAGATGTGTGGAAATATATGAGAAATTGAAGTGATTTATTTACTTGCTTGCCACTTTCAGAAACGTACTGAGAAGAATGCAAAGCCTGCCAGATAATACAACCCAGAGCTTTTTTCCTCTGAGTCAAGGTGAGGGAGATAAACCCCCCCCCAGCCCAGCAAGTAAACAAACAGAAATCAGCAGTTTTCAAAGTGCAAAAAAATCAGCACATTTCAAACAGAAGTTTAAGGTATATGAGAAAACACAGAAGCTTCCTGAGCGGCAATGACTCTTGCTCTGCTACTTTTGGCTACTGTTTTTAAGCGTTGCCAAAGTCTGCAGACACAGTTCAGAACTGCCCAACAGTTCAATGTTGTAATGCAAGGACCAGAATCAAATTTAATATTTTTCAATCCAGAGTGTCATCATATACAGTTAATGGGACTAGTTTTTAAATGCTATTTCTTTTTAAATATCTCAGGTTGTATTTAAGAGGGGTCAGAGGGTAGCACACAGCAATAATCTTTGGAGAAGTCTTAAGTTCCAGCAGATTTATACAACTCATTCAAAAATTCATTTATGGAAACTAAGAATCATCAATTCGTTTTCTAAAGCTTGGTACATACCAGAACATCAAGAAATCACTGTAGCATAAAAATTAACATTAACCAAGATAAGTACAGTAAGAAAGTACTACTTGAGATTCTCAGTTTATTTTTCCTACAGAAATGCTTCCACTGTATCCAACTTTAAACAAAAACTGCAACTCACAGTAATGACCACTGTATATCTACTGGGTCATCTTACCTGAAAGACAGCATGGGACCGGGAAGAGGAGGCATTCACGTCTGTGGGATGCTGAGTTCTATTTTTATTTCCATAATCCAACATCTGAAGGATTTCCTCTGCTGATTTAGGCTTGAATAACAAGACAGAACAAGATAAATACACTTGTTTTCCTTTTCTATCAACTGTAGGAGATTCTACAACACATTAAAATTCACCTTCTTTAAAAAAAAAAAAAAAGGAACTTAATATTTTAGCTACCTAGAAATAAGAGAAATTTCCTGTTTTGAAATTGAGGCACTTCAAACAAATGTTCTCCACTAAAAACCACTAATGTATGAAAAGTAAGCACTTAACTGCAGAAATTTAGATCAGAGAATGTCTTTACTAAAGAATTTAAACAAATCTGAAAAGGCCCTCCATAGTTAGAAGCAGCTTTATTTAAGAATGTCTGACTATCAGATCGCAAAACTGACTTTGCCTTCATTGCCATCTTGGAGTGTTCTACACCAGTGGGAAGTCTCAGGGTCGCTTCTGTTTTTGTAATAAGCATGTTTGAGAAGTTCCATGTTAAACTGCTTTTCCAGGACAGCATAGCAATTCTTTGGCAATGATGCCAAGATGTTTCAGCTGACAAACAAATCTGCCAAAACCTGGTGGGTGACAATAAGGACCGAATGCTTTGTTTATTGGCATTCAATAATATTGGCAGTTTATTCCACAGTGTGCATTTGACTGATTAGTTAAGTTTGCAAGTTACTGGCCAGAAAAAAAGCGCGCTAGGAAATGACCAAGTTCCATACAACTCTCACACAGAACTGTGGGAACTTCCTCAAATTTCTGAAGCGCACACTGTGAGTTTCTGTATGTGCTTACATACCTGATGCAATGTCAGACCTTGAACTATCACCCCTTGCTGGGCATCTTCACGAACAGCCAGAGGTCCAGAGCTGACCAGCAGATCACGTATCTGTTCATTGTAAATCTTTGAAAGAGAATTTAAATTATTGCATTAAAATCATCCTCCCATAGTTGACTGAATTAAACTTAAATAAACAGAAATCACTAGTCTTTTTTAGTATTTCTTTAAGACAAAGCAGCAAATTCATGCTGTTGATTTTTTTCCAAGCAGCTTTCCTATACTGAGTTTAAAATATTCAGTGTGCATGATTTCTTTTAAGCTGTTAAGGTACATCATTTTTTCTCATAAATAACTTTTATTCCTTATTAAAAAAAAAAAAGAAACTTTTGCAACAAGCATGAGTCCAAAGCATTTATTTTCCTTTTTTCTCTTCTCCTTCTCCCCCTCCCAAAACACCAACTATTCTTCCATTAAGAATTTAAGGGAGCTAGAAAATAACAATTTTACTGCTACCACTCAAAAGCAGTGCCAAAGACACTGACTTGTAAAAACAGAACATCATTTTGTTGTACAGTTTCACAGTACTTATAGGATGTTATTGTGAAGTCCTGAGATACAACCCTGGTATTTTCCTGTACACAACAACACATGTTTAGAAGGTGAGACACAAATTATGAGAATGTTCAGAGAATATATTAGAAGTGATTGTTCTTGTTGGGCAGCCTTCTATAAAATAGTGACAGGTGCCTTTGAACAGCAAATTTGGCAGAGCATGGTTCAGTTCCACTCCTGTAAGCCCCAGAAAGGACCAGGGAAAGGGAAAACCAGCTTATCTTTATGTGTTAAATATGAATTATTAAAAGCAGCACATCAAATGCAGGAACTCACCTCCAAGTAAGAGACAGCAACATCACATATTTTGTCTTCTTTTATTTGATCCATGCGGTTGTAGAGCGTCATCATGGTTAAGTACATCACTCCAGGATCTTCGGGAGAACCCAGCATCGTGTGAGTCTTTCCAGCTCCCGTTGCACCATATGCAAGCACTGAATTGACACAAGAAAACCCAAGCAAGAATATGCAGTTTATACCAGAAAGCTGAACAGAAACACATAAGTCAAATGGACATTCACAGGCCTGTCATTTCAAACAGCTGTTTCCATAAACCAATCAAGTTTCTTACTTAGACTTTACCTTTTACAGCTGTAATCAGAGCGCTATTTCAAAGTAACATCTTTGAATTTTCAGTTCAAAATTTACATGAAAATATTATTTACTTCCTCTCATAACCCTACACCATCAACTTATTGCTAAAAGACATTTAATTTCCTCATCACATTCCATCTGCCAATTAAAAAAGCCCAAGCTCTTTAAAAGAGTTCATAAAGCAGGGTACCACACTTTCAGTGGCACAACTGCTTCTGCTTGAATAACTGCAGAGGAGTTATTATGTCGTTAGCACACGTATTTCAGATAAAATCCTGAAGTTTTATATAACCCTAACACAAACTTTCAAAACAGTACAGCTATCCTAACTTCCATATGCTAAAGAGCCAGCCTCTCATACATATTAATTAAAACACAATGCTTTCACTTCTATCTCGGGTTTTTTTTAATGCCCTTGCAGCAGCTGCATGCAATGGTAGAAACTTTTAAGTTTTTTTAATTAAAGAAAATAAATAGCAAAGTTACCTGTGCAGTTATATCCATTTAAAAAGCCCTCAATCAGAGTTTTGGTAGTATGCTCAAAAACTTCCAACTGGGATGACATTTCATCAAAAATAGCATCGAACATGAATTTAAGATCTTTCCTTTGCCTTTTGTTGATATCCCTGTGGGTCAGCCTCTTCCCGTTAAAGAAACTAACTTCTTCCTCCTTCGGGTCGAAGACCAACACATGCTGGTCAATAACGTGGACAACCCTGCTGAAGTTCTCCTGTTTTTCCTTTTGGGTCTCTGGGCGGACACGGACCACCACTTTCACGTGATTGCAAACATCTTCTTCCTTAGCGGGACTCATCCCCTCTGGCCCCCCAGCTTCGCTTTCCCGAGGCTCTTTCAGGTTGCACAGCTGAACCTCCTCTGCAATTGACAACACAGAGGCGAAAGGCGTTATATTTCGGATAAAACCTTTCAGCTAGTTCACACATTTATTAAGGACTAACAACGCTGCTGCATCCACCCATCGTTTGCCAAGCTAGCTACAATGGGCTGCTTACAGCGGCAGCGCAACTCGCGAAGCGCTGGACCTGGCCTCAAAAGGTGATTTAATCCAGCACAGCTGCAAGAAACCCAGCTAGCACCACTCCCGTAAATCCCTAAAAATTCACTTTAACAATTTAAAGTGCCATTTATGTCAGAGCAAGCTTACAGACGGAATTCCCCTTTCCGGCAGACTAACGCGGGTGGTTTTCTTGCCCTTCAGCGCGAAGGCAGAGCAGCCGCCCGCGCTGCTTTCGCCGGGTTATTGATTTACCCACGCTGCACGTGGGTTTTAAAGGGAGTTACAGCGGGATTTACGTTAACGTCACCTGCACGGGACACAGCGGCGGATAACAACCCGGAATTCCCTTTAAAATGGCCCATCCTCGCTGGTTCGTTCCCCCCAAGAGCGGGCAGCGACCTGCACGCTGAAGGCTCTCGGGGACGCCTTTTGCGGCTTCGGGGAGAGCTCAGCTGAGCCAGAACCGAGACACAGCCGGGGCGGGGGAGCTGGGGGGGGGTCTCCCCTCGGCACCCTACACCGCCGCTCGGGGCACGGCGGCAGGACCGGCCCCGCGGAGAGAAAGAGCGCCCCGGCACTCTCAGCCCCTGTGCCCGAGACTCACCCCCGGCACCGCTGCCCATGCCCATCCCCGGCACTCACTCCCGGCCCCGCTGCCCATTCCCAGCCCCGTGCCCATCCCCGGCACTCACTCCCGGCCCCGCTGCCCATTCCCAGCCCCGTGCCCATCCCCGGCACCGCTGCCCATTCCCAGCCCCATGCCCATGCCCATGCCCATGCCCATGCCCGGCACTCACCCCCGGCCCCGCTGCCCTCCCCCGGTCCGTGCCCCCCATGCCCGGCACTCACCGCAGGGGCCGCTCCAACCGCCGCGCCCGCCCGATTCAAACCCCGGCCGCCCGCCCTTTCGCGCCTCCTCATTGGCCGCCCGAGCCCGTGACGTCAGCGCGGCGACGGCGCTCGCGGTAAGTGCGTGCGCGCGGGCCCAGGGGAGGGGAGCGGGCCGGGCCGGGTCCGGCCGGGCGAGCGGGGCCGGTGCGGGGCTACCGACGGGCGGGGTTCGCTCGCTCCCCTTGTCCCACTCGCTCCGCATGTCCCCCTGGCCTGGCCCGGGCGGGGAGCGGGGGAGCAGCCTTGGGCCGGGGTGCGGGCTGCTGGCGCTTTCCGGCCGCCTCTGCCTTCACCTCCTCGGTCGGTGCTTCACCTCCTGCTCCGCCTCCAGCTGCGCCCGAGTGCCGCTTCGGGCCGTAGTAAAAGTACGCTCTGTGCTCGCTTCTAAGAAACGAAATCCCCGCGGTCTGATTGATGGAACGGGGCTGCTTGCAGGCGGAGTGTATCCCCTACCCTGGCGAGAGCAGGCTGGGCTTGCAGCCGCGCGGGGAGGAGGAGGATGAGGATGGTGGTGCGCACCCCGCGGGATCGGGGAGAGCGGGGGAAGGGTGAAAACTGAGTAACTCGTGGGTTGGGATAAAGGCGGTTTGATAGGGGAAGGGAAAGCTGTACGCACAAGCAAAGCAAAGCGAGGAATCAATTCACCAAGGGCAGGCAGGTGCTCAGCCCTCTTCAGGAGAGCTGCTCGCCTTCACGCACAGCGGAGAAGACAGAGCATCACTTCAAATCTATCCTCCTCCTTCCTTCCCCCCCCACTCCTTTATAAAGTCAGCATGATGTCATATGGTCTGGAGTATCCCCTTGGCCAGTTTGGGTCGTCTGCACCCGCTGTGTCTCTTCCCTGCTGTGTTCAGCACAAATCCAAAACGCAGCCCCACGCCAGCCCCTGGGAAGAAAATTAACTCTGCCCCAGCCAAAACCAGCACAGCATCCCATGGTGGCGTGTTTGCTGTAGGGGCATTGTTAGAGCCATATGCACTAACAAATTTAAGGTAGGTGGAAATACTGCCCAGCTGAGGCTTGGTTTGTTGAGAATAACTTTCCTGAGGCGATTACTCATCATGTTCTTATCTATGCAGGCAAAATATCTGAGGCCTCTGGCAAGGTAAATCCAAGCAAATGAAAATTTGGTAGTGAAAATAATCTACTGGTTATTTGAATGTGATTGATTGGTAGATAACACTGAAAAATCTGAAAACATATTTTGCTGACATGACATACCTATAAAACTGCCCATGTTGGGGTGTGTGTCGATTGCTTTACCTATAGCAGTTCCACTTTGTTTTTTTAAACAGATGCACTGTTTCAAATACTTGTTTCAGAGTAATTCCCAGCATCTACTGTTCTTCTAGGCTGATCCATTCCAAAATGTTATCTCGGTGTCTCTGCCAAGTTCACAAGTGTTTGTTTCTGCATGACCTGAAACTGAATTCGGTGAGCGGGGCTGGTTTGGCCAGAAGGATCCGTACTACACCAAAAAAGCCTTCTGACTGCGAGTTGAAGGAACAAACCGTCCAGAAATGCGAAACTGAAGAGGTGCCTCGAAGTACAGAAAACGATGACTTGGGAAGACTGCACGTGCCGGTGATGGTGGAGGAGGTTCTTGGTTGTTTATCCCCTCAGCCAGGTCAGGTGAGTTCAGTTAATGTCTGTGACTCACCAACAGTGCAGCAGAAAAATTTGTGCGCTGTAGGCATAGTTTTGTTCAGAGGAATAAAGGGGTGCTCTTTAAGGGTCAGTTGCATCTTTTAAAGGTTCCACGTTGTTTTGCAATTCAAATTAAGGCTCCGCATTTCAAACTAATAACATTCTAGTATTTGTATTCCACATAAAGCAGTATTTGTTGTTCTAGCAGTATTTGTATCCTAGTATTTGTATTCCACATAAAGCAGTATTTGTTAAAACTGCTGTGTTAGGATAACGCTCTTGCTTTTGTGCTTCTCTTTGTGAATTGCACTGGTGTATTCCTAGGGTTAATTACTCATAGTAGTGGGGAGTTCTCATGGGTGGTTACGTCATGAGTTTGTGTAGAACTCTCTTCCCCTTGTTCAAAGAGGTAGGATGTAGGTTTTAAAACCCATCATCATCGTCCCTTGTTCTGAGACAGCTATTTCCATGGTTGGAGGTGTTCCCTTAGGGAGTGCTTACACTGCATGAGGAGCACTGTTGGAGGTACTGTAGGTATAAAATGGCTCTGTGGTACCAGAAATGGTTTTGCCTCGTTGGTATGGAACTTGTTAACAAGCTGCCTTACCTGGGTACGGTACTGCAAGCAGTTTGCTTTTGATATCTGGGTTAGCTCAAGTTGATATATCTGCATATTAGCTGTGTTGATACATCTACACTGTGTGCAGTCTAGGTGTATTGTTATGTGCTTCCATGAAGAAAAATGACACAGTGAAATGTTTTTGGTCAGAGTGACCTTAAATGCAATGTTAAGTTGAAAAGATTTCTTATACGATGTAAATGCTTAAATAACTCTCACATTTCAGGTGCTTTCATCTGTTTCATCTTTCGTTGTTTAGTGCTTATGTTAACTTCATAGAATCTTATAATTTAGGCTTATCAATGTGTAGTTTTGCTGTAAAGACTGAAACAATACATGAATAAGCAGAAAGTTTAAAGAGTATGTATGTTCTTGTTTTCATTTGAAAACAGCGTCGTCCAGCAGTGGTGAAATGATGCAGCAGTTTTGAGATGGGTTCAGTGATCAAAAATTTGCAGTCAGATCTTGTTGTGTTGCCTTGTATTTTAAAGTGTTTGAAGAAGCAGTGAGAATGCAGATAGTGTACATACACATTAGCATACAAATTGCTCTTGCATGTGTCCTCCTGTTGAAGACACCTAAATCAGTCAAAGACCTTCAAGTTCAGATTTCTATGTCAGAGCAATGGTGGAATTTTCACACATTAAATGGACATAGAAGTTGTGACACTGTAGGTAAAGTATTTTTTCCAGTTGTGTAAGCTTCTATTTGGATAAGAAGAGGCTGATGAAGTGACTGTTCATTAAACTGTCTTTGATATATAAAAAAACAACCCCAAACAAACAACTTTCATGGCGACAAAACTTGCGAAAGAAACTGTGGAGAGTAACTATTATTACCCCTGATGAGTTTTTGGTAATTCAAATATTTATGGATATAAAATAGCTCATTATTGGTGTGGGCTTTTTTTCAGGTCTGTGAATGCACGGTTTTGCAGATTTTCAAGCTAGTAATGAACGACTAATGACTGCTGCAAGAGAGTCCAAGTGTGTTTACCTCAAGCAGAAGCATTTATAATGCTGCTAACCTGTTCAGAATAACTGAAACTGGAAACTGTTCAGCACTCACATTTTTCTCTTTATATATGTATTTTCAGCACTTTCTGCAAAAGGATGCAATGTGTCAACTGAATTTTGCTGGAATAAGTGACATTTTGAGCACAGATTGAGACAGTTTCTCACTGACGTGAGTAGTGGTAACCAGTTGGTATTAGCATGGATCTCAACTGGGACCGTCGTATAAATTTACATTTTTAACGTTGTAGTCATGACAGGGAAGTCCATAAACACTTTATTGTGGGTGGGGAAGGAAATGCTCTGATCCTGGATTTAGTTTTTCTGCTTTCCTCTCTCCTACACACATACAAATTTCCTTTACTCAGCTTTAACACAGTTATATTCTTTGTTATAAAACAGCTGATTGTTGCCACTGTTTCTTGTTGTGTCCTAATGCAAGGAGTTGCCAATATAAAGAAAATCTAATTAGAAAGATGATCTTCTCCCTATAGTTATGGTGAGTGAATGGGGTTTTCATTTTACTTATAGGGGTTCTTAAGAAAATAAATGTTACTTAAGAGTGAGTCACAGCTGAGATGAAGATGTTAGTACCCTCCTACTGAATATTCTTGTTGACTGGCTCCTTTGGGGAGTCTGTTTGTCAGGAGTTTTAGCAATAATATTTCCACTTATCTTTGAATCTTCTTTTATTGCCTCGTTTCACAAAGTCCCTGTAGCAGTCCTGTCTTTAAAGCAAAGGCTACAAATTAGTTTGTACCGATCTACCTCACTTCTCAATGAAAAGTCTGTTGCAGTAAATCCACGTGCAAGCAATTTCCTCTTTAAGTTTACTGTGTTGATTAAACTACATTTTAATCTTTTCAGTCCACTAGTGTTCTTTGCAAACACCCAACTGGTGTTTTTGCAGTTCTCTGGCAATTTTTTCTGTTCTCTTAAAGAACCAAGCACAGTTTCAGAATCAGTGTCTTCAGACATCCAGAAGCATGTTTTCCCAATTTTCACCTGCTTTTCCCCCACCACCTTTTTTTTTTTTTTTCCTTTGCAAAGCTGTAGGAAATGACAGTGTTCCAGCACCAACAAACACTTCTATGGAAAATCTTTTAACTCCAACTAGAACAAAAGCAAATTGTGCCCTACTCAGATTATATGTAATCTGATGGCATCTACGGTTTTGCATTAAATGTGATCTAGAATACACTAGAATGGAGATACCATAAGCTCTGCTAGTATTATTTGGTTTATGATAATTCTGGAAGTTTGGTGTTTTTTTTTTTTTTCAGTATCTGTGAATTATAGGTGTAAATTATAGGTATCTGTAATAATAGGTAGTCAAACTTGAGGTGAGAAAGAATGACTGAGACCTTCCCCTTTTCTCCAGCATTTCAGTGACTAATCAGAAACAATTAGTATCAGGTGATTTTTTTTAAAATCACATTATGTTAATTTGTGTAAAAAAAAAAATAAAGCAGGTTATTTTCCCCAAAGAGATCTTGTCTTACATTTTCTTGAGTTAGCTGGGACTTATTGTGGAGATTTTGTTTTTGAGTCTCCATAAAATTATTTAGATTATTTTCTCTACCCAGCATTCATTGAAGGAGGTATCCTCCTTGTCTTGGAAATTACGTGTGATATCTGGTTTCTAGAAAGAGGCAGGTATTTCTTGAAACCATCCAGCTTTGCCAAGAGCTCTCCTCTCAGTCTTTCAGGTCTATATTGCTTTGTTTTCAGGATAGTTGCTATTTTCAGGCACCCAGTGATTCTTTTTTTCAGCCAAGATTATAAACGTGGTCTTCTAAAATAACAGGAGGAGGTATAAGACATTGCTGACAGTCAGACATCGTTCTGTTGTGAGGGAAGTGATGCTTGAGCTCTGCAATTAAAGTCTGAAGACAGTGGCTTTTCACCTCCTGGAGGTTCTGTTGCCACAGGTGGATGTTGTTGGGCTGGAACGTGATTGTTTCCTTGCTTTTCTGCAGAACTGGTTAGTCAAGCCACAGGTGACACGGGGAGGAAGCTGAGTGCTGGTGTGCAAAAGTGGGGTCTGCTGGTCAGAAACTTGCTGTCTCGGTTTCTTTATAATCCTGTCCATACATCAGCGTTCTCTTTCTGCCTTACACTGAGTGTGAGCTCTTCCAGGCAAAAATAACCTTTCCCTGCACAGCATCCTGCAGAGTGGACTTCTGTCTTGTGGGATAGGTTTCCAATTATCATGGGGTGTAAATAGTTAGGGGTCTATGCTGATGACCAGTGTTCTTATCATAGTGCCTCCAAAGCCATCTGCAAATAATTTATAACCGGAACGAGCCATTCGCACTAGAGGCTCTCAGAATTGAAGTTTTCTGCAGGGTATCCAAAATAAACAGGAATTGAAAAGGGATCTTGGAAAAATTAGTTCTGAGTTGTCAAGCTGTATGAGTTTTTTTGGTTTTTTTTTTTTGTAGGATGCAACCAAAATACCAAGTTTGGAATGGAATATTAGTTACATCACGAGATAAATGCTGAAATACTTGTTTTGGAAAAGCACAACACACACGTGGACATAGTAAAAGTTTTTTCTTGTTGTTTTAGCTTATTTTCACTGGACTTGTAAAATTAATTAGGTGACTTAAAGCAAGTGATTTGTAGGTGTTCTTTATCGTAGAAACAGCTATGTTTTTTTTGTGGGAAGCATGCTGAAAATATCTTTCCATATGCAGATTTTATGGCTAATTTTTCTCTCTCAGGAGCACAGTGATTTATATCACAGTGATTGATAAAGATATACCATTGTTGTAAAACAGAAAGAAAGATATAGGAACTTGCAAGAGGCAATAAATTAATGCAGAGAAATTCTGAAAATAGTCTGGGATTTATAGAACACACTTTTTTTTCCCCTGATACTTGAGTGTTACTGGGGCATATTGAGAGTTATTGCAGCTGATCATGTAGTTCCTGTGTATTCTTCCAGTCACTCTTACCTGGTTGCATATATTATGAATTTATGGAAGAGGCTAGTCAGGCTCCAGATCACAGCTGTGTATGGAAATGTGTAATAAAATGTGTGTGGAGTGCATATGTAAGCCAAGTATATTCATTTTTGGTGATATGTAATAGGAAGCTAGTTAAATGGAATGTCATCAGATAATGCTGTTTAAAATATTTGGCTAAAATCGTATTTTAAGAGGGATTTTTTTTGGGGGGGAAGTTAGCACTTGAAGTTAGTGCACAAAAATGGAAAATATTTTCAAAATGTTTTCCAAATAGTTTTGATTAAGATATGCAAAAGATAGTCCCCTGAACATTTGTCATTTTTTAAAAATAGTAATATTGTCTTTTTTTATGATGGTAGTGCCTACGTGTGGATTTGGAAA